GTGGTGTCCACGTGGCCACCTGGATTGGCTGCTGGAATCACGCCGGCACGCACGCGCGAGGGCCCCACATCTGAGAGGAGAGTGGAGGAGAAGGGGTTGTGGGGTGGCCCTCCCCCCAGGAAATCGCCCTCTGGGAGGTGATTTCTCACTTTCCCGCTCACTGTCTCTCTCTGTCTCTCTCCAATGATTGCACGTGCCCTTTGGCAAAAACATCAAAAGAAAGGAAAAGAAAAGAGAGAGAGAGAGAGAGAAAGGAGGGAGGAAGGGAGGGAGGGAGGGAGGGAAAGGAAGGAAGAAGAAAAAGAAAGAAAGAGGCTGGGGGGACCAGCAGTTAGCGTAATGGCTATGTCGCTGGACTCCCACGTAGTTGACCGCGGTTCGCGTCCTGGAGCCAGTGGCTTGAACTCACGCTAGCCGCGTGTGCGTGCGTGCATGCCCAAGATCCCGAAAGGAGAATGGAGGAGAAGGGATTGCGGTGTGGCCATCCCCCCTAGGGGGGTGATTTCTCGCTTTCTGTCTCTCTGTCTCTCTCTGTCTCTGTCTTTCTGGCGAGCGCACGCGCCCTATAGCAAAAACCTCTCTAAAGCCAGACAGAAAGAAAGAAGCCTTCCATCAGTCTTGCCCACAGAAAGCCAGGAGCCCTGAGCCAGACCAGAAAGCAACTTCCAGTGCGGAGAAAACAGAGCTCTGCGGGTAAATTCTAGAATGCTGACGTCAACAGCCCTGAGCCTGGGACCTCTTCTTTATTAAAAAAGGACAGTGACAAATGTTACGGTCACCAAAGACAAGTTAGCCTCCAAGCCGAGCCCTTCTCACCCTCGTCAGAAGGAGCAAAGGCTGCAGCGCCCGGGCCACCATGACTCGGACTGGCGGGTCTAACCCAGGCTGGTGCCCTGGGTGGGTGCATGCCCGGTTATGGTGCTGGGTCCCACCCAACCTCCTCCCCTCTCCCAGGGTCCTACCATTGCCCCGTGGTTCCATCCAGAATCCCTTTTGGGAGGACACCCACGGCCCCTCAGCGAGGCCAGAGAAGCCAGAAGCTTGCTCCCCCCTCCCTCGTTCAACTGACATGGTGTCACCACTTTTGTGTCCCATTAGAAGTGTAGAGTGGTCACTGCCATGACCTTCCCTGCCCTGAAGGAGCTCCCAGCCAGTGAGTGGAGGGAGACAACACAGATATGGACACAGACACGGGTTCGAATCCTCCCCTTGCTAAGGCCCCTTGGTTTCCTCATCTGTGAAATGGGTCCGATGAGACCAGCGTTGTCAGCGGGTGGGGACGCTGGCGTAGCTCGTGCGGGCAGTGCTGGGCACGGGACTTAGCCTGGTGGGCAGCGGTCACGCTGGGACGCGCGGCTCAGGGCAGGACAGGGGCCTGGGGCTCTCACGTTCCTTTTCAGTAACCCCACTCTGGGGCTCTAGCAGGGCCACGGGGGGCAGAAACACCGAGTCCCCCAGTGCCCGCGGGGTGCTAGGCCCTCGCTCCATCATATTCTCAAGTCGCACAACCTCTCGGGGGCCCGTGTGCTGTCACGATTGTCCTCGTTCCCAGCCAGCCATGGTGTGGCACTGAGGGAGCTGGATCCCACAGAGCTGACTATGAGTTTTGAGTCCTGGACCGGGAGGCTTGAAAATCACACCGTGTGGGGCCAGCAGTTAGCATAATGGCTATGTCGCCGGACTCCCATGCAGTCAACCGCGGTTCGCGTCCCGGACCTGGTGGCTTAAAACTCACGCCGGGCGCGTGTGCGTGCGTGCCCAAGATACCGAGAGAATGGAGGAGAAGGGATTGCGGCATGACCATCCCCCCGGGGGGTGATTTCTCGCTTTCTGTCTCTCTGTCTCTCTGTACGGTGAGCACACGTGCCCTGTAGTAAACATTTCTTCAAAAAAAAATCACACCGTGCACGTGTGCGCGTGCCTAAAGTCCCGAGAGGGGAAGGAAGGAGACAGGATGGCAGTGTGGCCATCCCCTGGGGTATGATTTCTCCTCGTCTCCACCCCCCCAGCCCCATCTCCGAGTGCACACGTCCGATGTCAAAAGCACACAATGGAAAACATGATTGCCCTCATTTTTCAGCAGAGGGAACTGAAGCTCAGAGAGGGTAGGTGCCTTGCCCAAGGCTGCACAGCACTTCCCAGTTCCAGTTTAGGAGCCGGTGCTCAGACGGAGGAGTCTAACCTGCCCCAGCACCCCCAGTGCAGGGCGGCTCCTGAGCCCCACCACTGTGCTGGGCCAGGAGTCTGAACTGAGCGCCCAGAACCACCTTCCCAGGAGCGCTGGGCTGAGCAGAGACGCCATTCCCCACAAGGCTCAGTGGGGGGAGCTGCAGGATGCGGCGAGAGAGCCCCAGACAGGAAGGAAGGGAGGAGGGGCCGGAGCAGGATGAGGTGGGAGATAGGGAGGGAGAGGGGCGGAGAGAGAGGAAATGCTGCACAGAGACAGAGTGGGCCGAGGGAGGGGAAGAGACCGGGAGATAGGGAGAGACAGAGAGACAGGCTGGGAGAGGTGGGGAATGGGGCAGACAGAGGGGCCGTACGAGGCAGTGGGGGATGCCAGGAGGAGCCTTAGGGGTGGCATTCCACAGGTGGCACAGGCTGTCAATCTGAAGGAGGGACATTAGTGTCCCTGAGCTAGGGACAGGGGGTAGGGGCTCTAATTTCCTGCAGCTCAATGCCCTGCCATCAAGCCCTGGCCAGCCTAGGGGAGGGGGCTGGAGTGACGCAGTCTGCAGGGCCAGGGCCGGATGGCCTGGGTGTTGGGGTGAGGGTGTGGGGGTGGCTGCAGGCTGGGCCTTTCCTACGTCCCCTGCAGGGCACAAAGCAACCCCCTGCCCTTCCTTCCTGGCAATGCGGGAGCAAGGGAGGGTGAGGCTAGGCCACGCCCAGGGTGAGGCCTCCAGGCACCCAGTGGCAGTTGGGTGTGACAGAGAACCCCCTGAGGACCTCAAACACTGCAGCTCTGCCCTTAGGGCCTGTGCCTCTGGGGCTGGCCTTTTCGCCTCTGGGCCTCAGTTTCTCACGTGGCCAACTCGTAGCTACTGTCTGGTCCAGTGCCCACCTGTGCCCTGGAGGTCAGAGGGGAACCGGGCCCAGTGCCAGCTAGCGTGTGGCCCGTCTTCCAGAAACGGGGGTTTAGGTCTGGGACACGGCCAGGCGTAGGAGTGACAAGGTGACAGCGCACAGGGTGGGCTTCCCGTGGGCCTGAGGTCCACCCCACGAGGCCTTGCTCTGGCCGTGGCCAGTCCAGCCCAGCTGCCCCTGGCCTGGCACACATCCGAAATACTTCCACTCTGGTGTGTCCTGACGTATGTAACCCTGAGTCCCCGCGCCCAGCTGGTCCCCCCTCAGCCATGTGACGGGCCTGGGGTTTGAGAGGCAGATCCTGGCGACTCAGCTGTGATCCCTGCCCAGCTGGCCCCGGGATGCTGAGGCCTGGGCAGTGCCTAGGAACGTGCAGAAAGGGGAGAGGCCGGGCTGAGATGGAGGCAGAGGCTGTGGACCGGGAAGGCAGAGAGGGAGGAGGACCGAGGCCCTCCGAGGAGGAAGGAGGAGGGAAGCAGCCGTCAGAAGGGGAAGAGGCAGAGGGAGCCCGGAGAGGGAGAGGAGGACAGAGTCAGGGACAGTGACCAGCGAGACTGAGACAGGGGATCGGGGGCGGGGCTGGCCGAGGCGGGGAAAGAGAAAAGAGAAAGAAGACCCAGAGACCTGCGACGCACACGGAGTTTAGGGGTGGGGGACACAGAGACAGAGAGACACCCACGGGGGAGAGAGACGCGGGGAAGAAAGGGAGGAAAAAGAACACAAGGAGACAGCCCGAGCGGCCGAGAGCGAGGAAGGAGCGAGAGGAGCGGGGCCGAGGCGGAGGCCGCGGGGGGGGCGAGCCTGCAGGA